TTGCTTCCATAAATATGGACATGCTGGTCGCCTGGAGGAAACACCTTACTGCCTTCACTCTCCTGCCGCAGAGGACAGTACGACTTTACCTCCAGACCGCCTCGTAGCACGAGTACTCGTAGTGCGGGGTCTCGCTGTTCTTGGTCTGGCTGCTCCCCTTTGGCCTTCCTGGCATGGTTGCACCTTATGGAACGAAGTTCCAGCCAGTGTAGCCCGCGGGATATTGCAGCACCCAAGCCCGACCACCACGTATATATATATATATATAAGTATATCTAAAGCCCTAGAGTGAGAAGTAGAGGAAAAGAGTGGGTGAGGTGGGGGGACCTAGTACTGGTCTTTGTCAAGCATTTTGAGGTGCCCACACCTCCAACCGCCCAACCAGACAATCTGGAAAGAAACTCACAGCACAAACGCCACTAACATCGGTTAACCGCCATTTCTTGCAACGTCTCCAGCCATGCACAGGCGGGGTCACGGGGACCCCACCCAAACTCTTCGTGACCTCTTTCATGCCTTTCCGCTAAGTCAAGCGCTGTCCACCTAGCGGTTTATGCCATCCTAAAGGAGGCACGGAGAACAACAGTTGTCTCGGTAGACGGTGTGTTAGCATGCGTAGCACATGACTGAGCCATCGTAGTCGATGGTGCTTGATGTTTTCCCTGATTAAAGTCATCGGCAGCGTGACATCGGTGTTCAACATTGATGCTTCACTGCTGGATTGAAGTACCTGCAGCACAACCAAATGCCCGACCCTTTAGATCTAGTGAAATGCCTTCTTAACGCCACAAGTGGCGCAAATTAGCAAACATGTTCGAGCCTTTGAGATTCTTTCAGTGACTTCATCAGGCACACTTCCGTCAGAGCTAATACATCTACCAAGATATGCAAAGTCTCCCACAATCTCCAGTCATTCTCCTTGAATTGTAAGGGATATGTTTGCAGATGGCACATTCTGGAGCATAAGTTTGCACTTTGAAGGTACAGGGTGCATACCAAAAGATGTTGTGATGTTGGTCTTTTCATTGAACAGGGTTTGTGCTTCGCTTTGGTCTTCAAAGATGAGGGTGATGTCATCTGTGTACTCCAAATTGACACGGCTGCCACCAGCAGCAATTTGAACATCAAGGTTTGAAGACTGTCCAGTGTTTGCCTCATTATTTCATCAATGACGAAGTTGAACAAGAACGGAGAGAGTGGACATCCTTGTCTGACATCACTTTTTGTAGCGGAGCTTTTATATCCCCCCATACAGTCTCACGTGCCCAGAAGTATGCGAATGTAGAAATCGGGTTATGTTCACAAACGTCTGAGGAATGCCATGTTGAACAAGTGTCGTTAATAGTACTGATAGATCGACAGAATCAAATGCACCATTGAAGTCAAGATATACTAGGATTATGGGTCGTCCGGCTTTGAGTAGCGCTTTGGATATTTTTTCCCAGTGGCCGTTTATATCCGACACCGTACCGTCCGGCAGGCATTCGAGTAGCTGGTTCTGATAGTTTCGTTTGACTTCTGGTTCCACTAGCTTCTCAATGGCTAAGCGAGGTGTGCGCATTTCGCGTACACCTGAAAAGCAACAGCGTACAAGTGCATGGTCGGAGTCCACGCTGGTGTTCCAGAAGGAGCGGCAGGCGGTGATCGACCCTCGCCACCGATAACTGACGGTGATGTGGTCTATTTGGATTCGGCGCCGGTTTGTTGGTGGGCACTGCGTTGTCAAGCGATTTCCGCTTTTCTGGATATTCGTACTGCAAAGGAACAGTTTGTGATTGGCACACATCTGAAGTAACTGATCTCCATTGTCCGTGCGTCTCGTGTCCAAACCAAGACGACCATCCACTCGGGCCACAGCAGCGCTTAGTCATCCTACCTGGGAGTTCATATCACCAGCAACCACAGCCACATCTGAGCATCTAGCCTGCTGTAGGGGGCACCTAGAGCGTCATAGAAACTGTCCTTGGCAGATTCAGAGCTACAGTCAGTTGGGACGTAAGCAGGCACAATAAACAGGGTGCGATAAACCTCACTTCCTCTAGATTTTCTTACAGATGTTGCCAAACGAACCGCACAGAGGCGACTATCAGCAGGTATCCAATCAAGCGAAGACGCTACCGCTCGTTCGCCCAATGCAGTACCCAACCTCACATATCCAGCTACAGCGGCCTCTGCATTATTAGAGGTGCGCAGCCGGAACCCGAAAAAGTGCGAGGGGGCAGTCATTTCTGACAGACAACATACATCAATGTAGAGGGAATCCAGCGTAAGAGCAAGAGCCATCTGTTGACCTGCTTACTTCAGTGTGCGAGAGGCAGAGGTCGGGTTCGAGCCACGGAACTTCCGGTCAGTAAATTCGCGCCATATCTACTTGAGCCATCTTCGCTTTCAGGTGAAAACCTAGCTCTCATCACCACCGTCCTTAATTTCTAGGCCACTGCGAGAGAAGATCAAATCGACACCCGTTTGATTCTTTTCATTTGATTGGTGAGCCAACTACGTTACTTTTAATTTGCGATAGAAATCCGAATTCTATAACTAACTCTGTGATTAAGTTGCAAACTACTGACCACGACATCTACGGCTGAAGCTTCACCCTGGATTTTGGATCGTCCTTATGCAGGCTCGGACCACTTGAAAGCATTGTGTGCTTCCCTCGGATTGCAAAGCAGCTATGAATCGAAGGGATTTCACCGCTGATTGACTTAGCTTGCCTTCAGACCTCAAAATCTTCCACAATCTGGTGGTCCTTCGTTGGTGGACGCACCAATTAACACAACGGTGAGGAGGACTCCATTTGTTATGAGTTGTTTGGTCCTAACTGCAGGTGGCGGTGGGCAAAAAGTGAGCGTTACAACCGACTAAAGGAGATGGTGTGCATCAGTCCGGTGTGAGGCTTAACGGTCTCTCCGTGGATATCTTGGACCACTGTGCATCGAAGGTCGATCACTTTGGTGTTGGGATACCGTTGGCCACGTGACAGGGTCATTTTCAGGTTTTTCTAGAGAAACCTGTCCCTCCCTGGTACATTCTTCATGATATGGCTATACGACATATATGTTAAATTTATTCCTACTTAACTTTTATCACATCCTAGTGCTGGTATGTTCTGTAAATGGTCATCTTCCTCAAGATTCGTAAGCTGCATGGCGTAGAGGTAAATATACAGTCCCCGGCCCTCACACAAAACTCGTTCGTGTTCAACGAACAAGCTCCTCGCCGAAAGATTTTTGAGTTTTCAGTGGTCCTCAGCTCTGTTGCTTTATCCTGATCTATCATTGTAATGATTGTATTGTTTTCAATCTGAAGGTATGCCTCTTTTGAACGGTTTTATTCGGCACTTACGCTGGCAACTCTTTTTGGTGGCTTCGTACACATTTTCTGCAGCTCTACTTGTACTTGACCATGCAAACTACATCTGCATGGCACTGGAAACGTCACTTATATCGTACTCTGCGCGAATAGCACTCATATTTTCCAATATAGGCATCATTCGGGGTACTTTTGGGGTTACTGTACTTTTATTAGCATTCAGTCCCGATGGTCTGTACTCATGTGTACATCCAGCCGGACGCAAGCCAACCTGATATTCGGTCTAGTTCCGCAATCCAGTTGTTCTACTTTCTGAATCATCGTGCATTTCACTACTCATCCGCCTTATCTCCGATCTAGCTTACTGACCTACTGAATTCACAATGTTGTCGGATATAATTTTACAAGAGAATGTCATACCACCTGCCGTGAGGAAACCACAGATCGAAGCACCGCGGGAAATAGCTCCGAAAAAGACTTTCGGACTACGTGACCCGAACGTGGTCACACGACCTTTAAATCCACTGAATTTAACTACTTCCAAGTCAACTTCTACCGAAGTGTCCCAAAAAACGCAGTCTTCGTTGGACGACTCGATAGAACAATACCACCCCCCTTCAGCAGCTGGTAACCGATTAAATTGCTCCCCTAACTTTGCGTTTTTGAAGATGATTATGCTGATATATTTCAGTACACGGGGCGTTTAGATGAATTGTTGAGTGGCGTAACTAATCTGATTGCTCATCAGGCTGAGTTATCCCCAAATCCAACCAGTTCCAGTAAGTTGTTCCCATTTGTGCACAGATTTGGATCTGTTTATAGATAACGTTTACTCAAACGATGAAGATGATACACTTGAGGAAGATTTATACCTTCCAGATGAACTTTTAGCCTCACTTTATCCGCGTTTGTTCTGAGATGTCTGACGCTTTCCGATTATACATCCGCCCTGCATTTATCTGTTGCGGAGTTTATGTGATGCACTTCGTTTCGATTCGTTGCGTATTTTGATGAAAATCCGGACTTTTCTCCCTTATTTCATCATCCGCATAGCAGGATCAATACGTTTAGCTCACAAACCGGGCGTCTGGTATCCATTTCGAGCAGGAAATCGCTACAATATCCCTATTCCGATTCTTCATGGCCAGGTGACTATTTGTCGGGTCGACCTGCCGCCATGCCACAATGGCGTCCCCCGCGGTAGGTCACTGGGTTATCAAGCTAAACAAACCGTTACTTCAAAGTTCTCTCCCTTCATGGCGATCTCCAGTTCGTCGCTGTCGGATGTCTGGACAGGCGTCCCGCCATTTCGGTATTTACTGAAAAGATAACCAGTGTAACTCCATCCTTTGACATATCGTGTCGAATACCAAATTCCTGGGTCTAAGATGTTGTCGACTGGATACCAGGTGTTTGTTTGCGAAACGAGTGGAAGGCACGTAAAACTTGTGTGCAGTATCTGGTAACACATATGCACACCTGGCTATCATGTCCCCAGGGATGCTCGTGCATTCTGTCCTGACTGGCTCGAGGTCGCTCAGTGGTTAAGATGCTAAAGTACTGACCGAAAGGTCCGTGATTTGAACCCAACCTCGACATCTTGACTGCTTCTGCTAGACTTGGGCAACCTGAAAGTATCTGAGCCTCCATGCTTCCCTCGGGTCCCATGTCATCTATGCACCGAAAGGTGTTACAACTAAAGGGTGCGCATGTTTGCCTGGCTTTTAAAGGTGGTCGTCCTTTGGAGTAGTGTTCGTGGAGGCAGGTCGCTCGACCAAAGTGGAAAGCGTCAAAATTACAGCTGAATGAGCAGATAAGCATGGAAGTAGCCATACCACCATGGGCAAATTATTTTGGCTATTGAGGGTGATGCAAGGGTAGCCATTGCTTGAACAAAACCTAACAGCGCCCAAGAGATTCTTATCATGCCGTTTATTTTTCTCACTAGTAACTCAGAGGTCGAATTTCCTGAAAAGCAAGCTGAGCAACAGGCTTTTATTCGGTTGTATCAATATCATAAACCCGTGGGGGGAGTTTTTCGATACTGTTGTCAATGAATCTTCCAGGATATCTCGTTTCTAGGACCGCACCTTACACTTCTGTCATTCTCTAATGTATCGCTCGAACAGATCTTTTGGACTTCCGAAACAAGGCGTCTGACGATTTTCATTCCTAAGGAGTCACGCCATGCAGATTGTTATACTATCCAATCCAAGCATTCTTATGAAATAGTGTTCGTTCAGCTGATCCGTATGATAAAGGTACGTGTACAAGCTGGGAAAGAGCCCTCACCGTCTTCTATAGCCGTGCTACAGAAACTACTATCCACGCGTTAGTAGTAATACCCTAAACTGCTGGCAAGAGGTTGTGTACTGCAAACAATGGTGCAACTTCTGTACCGGTCCTTGGACTCTTGCTCTTGGGAAAACGGTCCTAGGGCAATACTAATTTGTCTGCACATATCACTGGTAAAAAACCTCCACAATAAAATTACATCAGACAAGCAAATTGCGCGGTTTCGGGACAGCTGAAGCTTTTCGAATGTTGACTCAGTCACCGAGTTACGTATAAAGTTACTCGTTCCCAACAGGACAAATATTGGAACGCCAAATGGAAAACGTCACTTTATCAACATCCGGACCCTGGCTTACAAGTTGTGAAACTTCATATGCCACTTAGCTACCAAGTTCGTTCTGGAGAATACTAGAAGAGCCTGCACGTGGTCCTCGTGGATATTGGAAAGGCGGGATAGACGGGAACAAACAGCTTTGATGACCTTGGAAAGATCCATACTGATAACATCATTCATTGGCTACAAACGTGAAAATTCGACGCGCGCCGAATGTTTCTCCTTAGTAGTGCACAAATTTTGTCGATCTAGTCGCAATATCGATCCAGTTGTTATGCGTAAACCCTAATTAATGGTTCTGTCACTCGAGTGAGTAACTCCACTTTCAGACTGGCTATCTAGTGGTTCTGTCGTTAAGTTAAATACCACCGTAAACGAGGTGAGTACTAGTCCCCTTGTCTCTGAACTACATGGATGGACAACTCACGAATTAGACAAGACTGCTTCATGAAAGAAAGAAAAGAAAGCGTTCAGCTGTAGCACCCTTCCGGTGCCTAACTGCCATGCCACCCGAAGGAAGCACGAAGGCTAGGATACTGCCAGGTTGCCCAAGCCTAGACAGGGGAAGTCGAGTGGCGGAGGTCGGATTCGAACCACGAACCTTCCGGTCAGTAAATTCGCGCTCTAACCACTTGGGCCATCTCGCCCCTGCTTCATGAGGGAATTCGTTTATTGCTACATCGCAGTTGATTTTGTCAACAACTTTTGGGATGCCCAATCAAACAGCTCAAAGGAAAAGGACATCAACCAATGGGACGTCGCTAGCAGTCAAGCATTTAGGACCATAGTGATTGTCTTCTACAGGGACCAACTAGAGAGAACAATGCGAAGTATGGACGGACCAAATAGATTTCATAGGAAAGCAAACATCTGACTTCAGGAAAATTCAGCTGTCACGTATATAGACTTCTCTTTCGGGATGGAGAGGCTCGAGTGGGTTCTGCCGATGATCCTTGTTGAGAAAACGATGGGTCTCAGTGCGGAGCTCGAATTCGTGATCTTTCACTGAATGAGGGATCTACCAAATTGGCTATCGCGGACGGTACTTTGTGTGCCACATGTGCAGAATGATTCAGAAGCTCAGCTGTTGAAGTACTGGCTTAATCAGCCAACGGTCGCCGACTCAAGTCCCGTCCAAGGACTATCTCGTTTGTACTATGGGTGCTTGTGTCGCTGCTGAAGCTCAAGCGGTTAGAGCGCGAATTTACTGATCGGAAGGTCCGTGGTTCCAACCCGACCTCTGCCTCTCGACTTCCTCTGTCTAGGCTTGGGCAACCTGGCAGTATCTCAGCCCTCGTGCTTCCTTCGGGTAGCATCGCAGCTAGACACCGATAGGGTGTTACAGCTGAAGCAAGTCGGCTAAGGAAAGAATTCCATCCTCATTCTTCGTAAAAAAATGAGGGTTCATGTTGGAACGCTAGTTTTTTTTGTACGTAGGAGCGCATTACTAGCAAACTAAGCGGGGTGCACGGCCTCAGATTCCATTGCACCGCAAAAGGACCATACTCGTGCGTGAAGTATTGAACACATACGCGGATCTGCGGCTTCGTCTGACTTCCTCGATGTTTGCTCCTGAGGGGGCCTTTTTGCTGTGCTTCCCTCCTTTAGCAATCGCTGGTGGGCAACAGATCCTTTCGACTTGCTGTGAGTTCAGTCTGAAGCGGGTTCGTCTTTTTTATCTAAGAGGTGTCTAGAACTCTGGTCCTTGTGGGGATTTCTCTTTTTCGGATGAATCACTATACCATGCGTCCGTTTCTGAACAGTTAGTTTATCCTCTGGCTGGATGGCGGTCAACAGTGACTTTGGAGAGCTAATCGGGCACCAGCTGCACAGCTTGGATTTACGATGATTTCGTTGTTTTGGTCATGGATGGTTCGCCAGAACAAAAGGTTCGATCTTGTTGCTCCATCTGTGCCTCGTTAAAAAAAAAACTAAAGTCAACCCGTTCATACCAGATGGACTGAATGTTCGTCACTGGATAGTTCTTAGAGGCATTCAACGCATGCTCCTCCAGAACCCGTTCAACCAGATGGACTGAATGTTCGTCACTGGATAGTTCTTAGAGGCATTCAACGCATGCTCCTCCAGACGGGAAACCTCCCATCAGCCACTTTATATTGGAACCGATTCACACAAGTGACTACTAGTGAAGTTACCTTCAGTGACGTCAACCATTGAACACGTTATCTTTGATCACATCTTTGGTACCCTCAACGCTTATATCCTATTTAGACCAATTTAGATGCAGGCAACGCGTCATTTACTTCACTTTTATGACCCCTTGTCTACCGCGTGTACCATCACTATGATAAGACCATCATGCGTACTCACTCAGTGGTCTTTGTTCGGGGGGTAGTTGGGGGGATCATCCATCTACTGGGAGTGGATGACCAGGTTTTCTGACAGCTGGTCGATCACCTTACTTAGTTTGTTGATGATGCTTTGACCTACCAAAGCTGAGTATTATCCTTATCACATGAATATTTTGGTCCTTCCTCGCCGACTCACAAATGCACGTAACTGTCTTGCAAAAATCACTCTTTTGGAGGGTATTGCATTAGAATAAGAAGCTGTCAAGTCTATATCAGTAGTGAGTCCACGCGTTCTCGCTAAATAATTGTTACAGAATGGACTACAAAAGAAGAAAATGACTGACTAGCTATGGACTTATAGCCGTTCACAATGCACCATCGTTCTCTTGGTTTCCCTCAACTTGAAGTATAAGAAGAACGTTTTGCTATTTTTGGCTGACTTGAAGTTACTTTAATTGATTCGCTTCTTCCACCTATGCTAGTAATTTTTGTCTCACTTTCCACTTTAAAAAAACATGTTCTTAATTGGTAGTAGTCGGATGACTGTTCTTCAATTATTAGCCGTACCGAAAAGTTTGATAGACGATACACCAATAGGCTAACATGCACTTGCAAGATCACAGTCGAACTCCAGTAAAGCTCGCCATTTGTCCGTCTTGAAAGCCAATATGCCCTCCACAAAATCGCCTTAGGAGCAATTGGGGCGCTGTGTGGTCAGTGCGACAGCTGATGGTGTCGGGGAGTCTGAGGGGTGTGGAAAGTCGAGGATGACTGTCTCGTGGGCGGCATCAAGTGTATGCAGACTCTGGACAAGGTCGGAATGGATAACTAGCGGCTGTTTGAGGTGTTGATAGAATCCATATATTAGCATACTTACCTCGTTATATTGCTCCTTGGTTTGCTGACACAGTGGTCCCACCCAGTGAGCAATATCCTTGGGGATCGCTCGTTTCATTGATTTTTCCTCCGTTGCTTC